CGTTATCCAACGGTTTATTCTGGTTTGGAATAAAAAAAGAAGAGCGAGACCCGATCCGTGTGCGGGGCACGGGGCACCCAAGGCAGGCCCCGCTGCTGCACCCCGGCCCCCCGCCGGCACAATTCATCGCGCTCCCAGGCGGCAGGGTCACGTCCTATCGCAACGCTGCAGCACTCGCCGCCGCCGTCGAACCCTCTGGGGTCGTCCAGAATCACGATTTGTGGATCCCAAAAGGCGTTGTTGTTAACATGCAAAAAACATTACTAAACAATATTATCTAACTTCTACAGTTGCCAAATACTTGACCTTAATAAGGAAACCAATTACAAAATACTTCCTTGTAGTGCTATACAAAAGTTATAAAATTAAGATTCTATCAACCACTTTTAAATATTCCAATTTTCCAACAGTGCAGTTTTCCACATCTTTATCACCACTGAACATTTCAAAGATAAAGCAATGAAAAAAAAAAAACCCAAACAAATCAGCAAATTAGATCAAAATGTTTGAATCTTTGGATCCCTTTATTCCTGCGGCCTTCATATACACACACAGACACAAACGACCAGGTCGCCACCTCGGCCTATCAAAAAGTGGTAACTAGGCATTCAGAATTGGCAAGAAGTCCATACTATGTCATTTGTGACTCCACCGTCTTAGAACCAGAGTCGCAATGTCTCCAAGCTATGGTCTATCAAAATGCAAACAACTTCAAACACTAAGAATTCTTTAAATTGCTTATGCCTACAGGTATTACAACAAAGTTAACATTTCAAGAATTGACAAATGGAGACATACTTTTGTCCCAGGAGAATCACGAACTCGTCCGCCTGGTCCGTTATTAAAAAAAGTTAATATTTATCACTAAGTAAAATTAATTGCAAATTTTGACATACGAAAATTTCTTTTCTCCTTATTTGAAAATATCTCCTTAATTTGGTCAAATCCTGTGATATGCCAGAAACTACAAAATCAAATTCCTGCAAGAGAAGTGAAGAGTGTATCCAGTTTCGTGTAATGGAAGAACATTTTCAAATCTTCATTATACTCCAAATATAAAATCAAACATTTAAGCCTGAAAAGCTGCTAAAGGAAAAAACCCAACTAATTCAGTGTTCTTCAGCATATCAACTTTTGCAATAATACAGTATGTTTGCCGACTTAAAAATGTTTATTCTTTAAAAAATTAGTTGCTTTTTATACAGCTATACAAAGTTTGTAATGTTTCTTTGGCAATGGGATATAATGGAATTTTACAACTATATAAAAAGTTTCCTTTGCCTAAGAAACAGTATTTACTGTGTGTACATATTTGACTGACAAAGCAAGTTTTCTACTGTCCAGCACCCTAGTTGATAAAAGTACAACTATCTCAAAAGGGATATTACAGGATTTCCAAAAAACAACCTTCAGTGGATCAAAACACTCACAGTATCGACGGCCTTCTGCATACAATTGTCCTTACAACTTGAAGCAATTATCAAATACAGTTTAGTAATAAGAAAAATCCTTTCAGTGATGAAAAAATACTTAAACTCCATCGAAGTACTGCTTTATAATTAACTATACATAAGAAATTACTTATCCTTCTGTCTCAAATATATTTAATGCTCACTGTTTTCAAAGATGGCCATTTTTCAAAAGTAACTGCATTACACCCCTTTGAAATTAAATAGTTAAATCCCAGTGCTGGTGACAAGTATACAGCAAATTAACTTCATTCTTTGCAGAGATTGAAACTAATTCTCTGGATCAAGAAGATCTAGACGTTCACCTGGTTTCAGCTTTCTTGTAGACTATGCAGCAACTTTGTTGTCTTTCTAGAGGGAACAACAGTAGAATGTTAAAATTAATTTTGCAAAACAGAAACCACAAATGAACCTGGGCAACAGCACCAGGAGAGGATGCACCGTGACGGCTACTTCCCCCCTTCTGCACTCAGAAAGGAGACCCCCCTGTGTGACCAGGCTGGCATCTGGTCGACACCCCCCAGCCTGGCGCACACTGCAGCAGCTCGTCACTTTGAGCACGTCTGGCACAACTCCTCGGCCTTTACACCACCTCCTACTTAGCTGGAAGGCTGTGAAATTCTTTCATTCAGAAATTCAGATCTTTGATCTTCAACCCCTCATTTCAATTCATGCTCAGCTACCAAAAATTTCTTTAAATCACAGGACTAATTGTTGCAAACTAATGAAGGAATAACTGAGGAACAGTCAGAAATCTTCTGTGACCAAAAAAAAAGCTCCCCCCACCTTTTTTTTTTTTTAATTAAAAATATTTAAATCTTCAAACAGAAAACAAAGATTTTGTGTTGCAAAACTCTAACGGCTCATGCAGTAAACTACCTGAAAAAGTTCTTCTGTCCCAGCCAAAATTGTAAAAGCCTACATTTACTTGCACCAATCTGGTTAATTCTATTTGTTACTGACTCTGACCAGTATGCCAGTATTACTTCTGTTCCTTAAAAAGCTAACATTCAAGTTGAATATACACGCATAATGCCAACAAAAAGGTCTTGCGATGAAATTATTAAAATATTTTGGTTTTACAAGCAACTGAGCTCTGCTGATTTACATCATCTGTATGATCAGTGTGCTTTCATAAAGAGGAGCACTTACATTGTTTCTCAGAAAAAGGAAGTGCACCTAAGATACCACTAGCACAGAGTACATCACTTCACCAGCTGGGGCTGACAACTAACTTTGTCCTTCCCCTGAACGGCTGGTAGGAAGAAGCGTTAACATCTTCATCAGGAAACAGAGAAATGGATGTCTTAAGAGTGTTGCAAAAGCAACAAATTGCGTAACTATGCTGTAAAGGAAGATTCTGCTTTTTAGCCATCATAGCTCTTGCAGAACAAATTACTATTTCTATGCTCACATGATGATGAAAGCATGTTTGTACATCAGGTTACTTGAGTCAGCGGACTTACATGGTGGCTTGTGCATAATGCTTAAAGGAACTGTAAGCTTCATCCATATTTAACTAAAAATAAAGTAGTAGTACTTATTGTAAGTTTTTAAAAACACTTTCTCTACGGGACAGACAGGGATCTTTTCTTTTGAAGCTTTTATGCCCTATCTCCCACAGTTCCTTTTTACTGAATGAATGGCTGAAAAAAGTCAATCCTGCCTTAGCTTCCCCAACAGCTAGTGCATATAATTATGTAAAATTACAGTTTAAAAAAAAAAAAAACAACAAAAAAGCGTGTGTAACAGGACCTTACAGAACTCAAATAGTTTTTTATCTTCCTTTTTGAAAAGGTCATCACTATGCTTCAGCAACTTCAATTACTCTATTTGAGGGATTATATAGGATCTTAGAAGTCTATAGGCTTTGTGCCAACTCATTCACAAAAAATTTTAAAAAAGTTTGCTGCACACTAGCAGCAAGTTAAATTACTCCCTCTCAATCTTTACATTTTACAATATTGCTTAGAAAAATGCTTGCAATTCACATTTCTAACACTTGTATTAAATCTGCAGAACTTATACTTTTTTTTTTTTTCCTTCCCTCCCTGCCCCAATTCCAGCTATAGAACAAATATTTAGGGCATGTGAAGAAAGGTAGCTTCTAATTTTGGCTGCTGCTGCTGATAGTAAAATGATGCTATGTAAATAAAATTTCAGCATTAATGTACTTTCAGTTAAATAGCTCCGAGTACCTGCAGAACACTATTCAAGAAATTCTAGTTCAACATCAAATCTAAAAGCCGGAGTTTTTTTACCGCTAGTTTCCAAGAACAGTGGATCAGGTCATAGCAAGATTAAATATATTTTACCCTATATTCAAAGTCAGCAAACTCCCTGCCTCCACGACCTCCTCTGAATCCACCACGAAATCCTCGGGGGGCAGTGAAGCCACCTCTTCCACCTCCTCGCCCTCTTCCACCTCGGAAGCCAATCCCTCCTCTGCCTCTGTACCCTCCACGGCCGCGATTGGGACGCAGTGGTATTCCAAAGGTCTCGGCATTTAATCTTCTTTCCTCAGCCCAGGTGGGTCGCCGTTCTCTGCCACACAAAAGGAACAAGGATTGTTTTAAAACACACTTCAGAAGGAAGATTGCCTGGCTTAGTTAGAACCGCCAGAAAGCCCATGAAATAAAGAATAATACATTAATCACATTGTAAATCTCCACATTATCCCTTCTGGAAGAATCTAGGTGTCTGCCACAATTCATTTAACTCAATGAAAAGGGATATGCTACAGTATCATTAATTACATATTAAGAATGCTGTAAGAGTTTCCCATACAGAAGGACACAGTCTGTATCCTCTGCACACAACGCCATGTAATAAAGTAAATAAATAAAAGCTATCTGCAATTTAAAATAAGAATCAGAAAGTAAGAGTTTGCAGTTACAGATGTTATTTTATCAAGCTGTCAGTACAACAAAACAATCCCCCTGCCCTGTAACTCAAAACAGGTCAGCAATCCACATCATCTTGTCTACTAAAAAGGCAACAGCAAAAGATAAAGCTTTAATTTTCCTGAAATGCCGTCTGCCCATTCAAACAACACTACTGGCCAAGACAGTTATGTAATCTACTTGGAAACCATTACCAAAGCACAGTCATAATTGATTTAACTAAAGCAGTAATGTACTAGCAAAACAAAACAAAAACCCCACTTCAGTAAATCTGGAAAGGAGATTCAAGAATATGTACACTAAGTTCTAGAAACATAGTTCTAAAACAGCATTTAAAAATGTCTTCTGATTAATGTCCTGCACTTGCCCACAGACGTTTTGTGCGTCATATTCCTGGTTTATTTTTGCCCACTGCACGTGGAAATAAGCTTTATTCACTTTCGATTCAGAGTTGGTTGTAAAGAGTAGAGCTGACAATACCTTATGATATAAACATGCATTAAGCAGACTAACAAGCTTCCCCTTGCAGGCCATACCTATTGTCATCACAGGAGATATTATCAAAGAAGGATTTGGTTTTGTCATAGTAGCAGTTGGGTCCAAGTGGATCTTCCTCATCCGCATTCCCTTCGCTATTTTGGGTATCAACACCTGAGTCACCTTTGTCTTCTCCATTTACAGGCTTCTCTGGTTTCTCAAGTTTATCTTCTAGAAAATAAAAGTGAACAGAAGCCTTCCAGACCATCATACTACAAAACAGCACTGTTAACTTATCCCCAGACAGACAGACACAAACTATAATGAATGCTCAAAAATACAAAAACCCCTTCAAAATTTAATGTGGAAGTCAGATAATTTGACACACATAAATTAAGATGTTCTCGTGCTGCTGTCTGGAGGTTTGATATCCTCTATATTCTCTGTGGCTTTAAGTAACAAAACCAACCTGTGGTAGAATGGATTTGATAGTCATCCATTTTCTAACCTCCCAGCTACCTCCTTTCCAGACTTAAAAGCCTCACTCAGTCATTCCTCATAAAAGCCATTCCATGTTTTCGCTCATCCCTGTTGCCCTTCTCCTTTGTCTTCTGGCTTTGCTGTTATCTCCTTTGAGACACAGGGCCAACATTCAAGATATTACGCTGCGAACTGACTTTATGGTATATTTCTTTCCTAATAATGCCTGAAGTTCAACTTACTGTTTTGACTGGTACTGAAAAAGCAGCTGATGGTTCAACAGAACTAGCTATTACGATCTTAAAGTCTCATTCCTTAATGCTTACAGCTTAAATCTCATGACACTGTGCATAAACTTCAGATAACCAGCTCAACCTTTCCACAACACACACACACACACGCAAATTACCACTCTGTCTCATAAAATATTTCTATAGCTCTTTATGGTTAGCTTTCCTTTTCCTCTTTGTATTCTGAAAAATATGAGTATGAACAGCAAACTGTCAACTCATTTAAACATGATCCAGAAAAAGAGGCAAGCACCTGAGAACAAATCCTACGGAACTCGACTGGTGGGTTTTTCTCTACACTGAAATCTGACCATTTATTCCTACCTTTTGTTTCCCAGCTTTTAGCCAATCATTTACTGAAATATAGAAATCCCTATTTTAACCTGTAACAATTTTGTCCAAAAATAGTACCAGCAGCGTAACAAACAGGTGGCTGGTCACAAGAGAATGAGGTAATTAAAACAGAAGCCTGCTAGAAAACAGAAGTGCTGGCAGTATGGATTCGAACTACTCCTGTGTTTCTTTGGAACAGGGTAAAAGCAAAGAAATGCTAGAAACTTTCTTGACTTGAAACTCTTGTGCATCCTCCAGCAAAGTTCTAATCCCAAACTCAGGTTTTTGTGATTGCTTTTGGTCTACTAATAATTGAAAACATAAAATACAGGTTTTCTTTTATTGCATCTTTTCCAGAACTCAGAAGTAAACTTGCACTGTTGGGACTTCTGCTCAAATAGTCTGCATTTTTAACCAACGGAATTCTTAGAACATGATGTATGATATTTGCTAGTTGACATTCCTTCAAAACTCAAATATTCACCCAAGTATTTAACTAAATAGATGATCCCAGTTTACTTGTTCATTGATTTTTTTAAATTTTTTTAATGACTGCAAACAAGACTTAGTAGGATATGGCTTTTAAAAGTTGTTCTCCAAAGTAGGATTAAAACAGCAAGGCACAGTTTTTCCATGCTCAAATCTAAAGCAAAAATTGGTTTACCTTTTAGTTTAAGTTTATTATGAAATTCTCTATCAATTTCCTCCTTGTTGAATTGTGCATTTGCACTTTCAAAGTCAAAGTCCTTCTCAAACTTCATTGGACCATCCCTCCTAATACCAAATCTTCCTCGGCCCCCTCTGTGACCTCCACGGCCTCTCCGTGCTGAAGGTCCACCTGGAACTGAAAAGAGGGAAATTCTGTTTGGTTTTGTTTTGTAGATTGTTTTTTCTTTGAGGGTGGTGGGGATGGTCGTTTTTTTGGGTGTTTTTTTTTTGTTTTATTTTTTAATTCCGGGGGTAACAGGTTTGGACTTCATGCATCTTCTTCCTGCACTTCTGTTGTTAAAGAGTCCTGTCGGAGCAGCTTGTAATTTGTAAATTCACTTACAGTAATTACGGCAGTGACACAGAAAGCATCATAGTACTAAACTTGGGTACTAAAAGACTTTCTAGAAGTCATTAAAAGCTTTTGGAAGAGTTAAAATGTTAGTGGCTTTTCAGGCAACTATTTTCTTAGAAAGGTAACAGGTTTTATTTCATGCTATTGTGTTTATAGATCCATGAATATTGCTTAGGTTTGCATTTTTATTCAAATTGCTTAATATAGAGCAACCAGAAGAGATTCTTCTCTTTAATGTTGACTTTTTGTGCCTGTATTATTCTGACCCAATGCAAAGTTATTGTTACCCACTAGAAACAATTATGTGAAAGCACTCTAAATACGTAATTTTTTTATTACCGTAATCTCAACTGCAAGATTTCTGGATGTTAGAAACAAAGTCCTAGTACTTTGCAAACTACAGACAATGCTGTATTTTAGCAGACTTTTAAAAAACTTAATGAAGTCTGAAAACAATGATAGCTATTTCTCAAAACAAGATTTACCAATTTGTCGTTTGTTTTCATTTCTGAGTTCATTTTCTGATCTTGAAACCTTGTGTGCTTCAGCTAAAGTTGGAAATAAAAAAATGATTTGTTTATCCAATTAGGTATTTTTGATCATACTTTTGTATATAGTTATATAGTTCAGATTTGAAAAAAATTCAAACCTATAAAAATAAACCACAAGTTTAACTCATAAAAGAAAAAAAAAAAATTAGAGTATATGCTTGACTTGAAAAAGAAATATATATAAATCGAGGCCTCTGTTGGCCAGCCTACCAGTAATGGACAGCAGGAAGATTCCTACATGTTACCCTTAAAAAGAGCACTTCATATGTGTATGGAAGAAAAATAAGCCGTATGAAAATTATCCAAAGCTACCTCGTCTGTGCTCTGGATTCTCTAATGATTTTTGGCTAGCAGACACCAAAGGTCTGGCTGGTACAGGACTCCTCCTCCCAACTGGTGCTGGAGTAGGCAAGTGGGCTGAAGCTGTTTGTACTGCTTGTTCCATGGTGGGGCTCCTTCTCAAATGATCTATCTGAGGGCTTGAACGACCTGGGAAAAAGACAAAACAAAACCAAAACCCAAAGAGTTATTTCTCATCTACAAATTTGAGTTACGGGTCTCAACCAATCCAGACTGACAGGTTTATCTGCCTTACCAGTCAAGATAGCTGTGTCCAAAGAAGAAATAAATATTCCTGCACCCTCAGATCCACTAATCCAGAATGAAGGATATTTAGCAATTCCCCTTCCCCCAGTCTAAAAGAAAAAAATGGGTAGGACAATTAATCCCTACCAACCCACCCATGATGTGCATTTAGCTGTGGAATGAAATTTTTTGTTTCATTGAA